CTCATATACATGTGGTGTGCAGCGCTATTCCACTTTCCCCCTGCAGACGTCTTCAACATTGTGAAGGTGTTGTCTGGCTCGACTCCGCTGTGTGTGCTCTTCATCTTCCTCTATGCTATCATCTTTTACCCCTCCACCATTGTCCAGGAAACATGCCAGCACACACAGTACTTCTTCCGGACATCTGTGCATCGCAACTGTCCATGCGCGTGCCCTTGTTTGTTTGTTTTTTCTGCTTGATAATTGCCTACCTGCAGGCCAGTTTTCTTGCAGTTCATCGCTCGTGCTACGTCAAGGTACACCCCACTACCAAGTGCCTGACAGGATCATCGCCCGAGCGTCATCCGGAACATTCGTACATATGGTCCTTACCAACACCACACTTGTGCCCACGTTCATGCAGCGGGAGTGGCTGGGCCACTTTAACCCATGTACGTCTTCGTTCTTTTCATTGTATTGTTAGCACTAATGCATGCTCTGTAGGGACATGTTGTCGACCTTTGAGAGCACTTTCATTGCGGACACTAGCATTGACTTTATTTCTCCATCCATGTCCATACGCTGTCATTCGTTTCCTACCACGATTAATATTCCGTTCAGCATCTAATTCCATGCCCGTATCGTAATCCTCTCATTATTTCTTCACTTATTCTTATATACTTGCCCAGTGCAGAATGTCGCTTAAGTGGTGACTCTGGTGAGTGTGGTCCTTTCACTCCGACTTGATATTTTTCCTGCCATCGACGCTGTGTTATGTTAGCTGTGAGGTCCGGATCTTTCCATTTTTGTCCAGTAGTATGTACATACTCCTACTTCAACTGTATCACTTTGTCATGTATCATACTATGCACTGAATATATGAAGTTTCCTGATAACCAGACGAGCATGCACATCCAATAATACCATTCAGATGAGGCGGGAATCCCAGGAAATCTTCGCGAACTCGAGGTAATTTAGGCTGAAATTAGTGGTAATTTACTTGGGAGGTTGCTAGATACCTAATGGAGGAAACCAAGCATATTCGACTGAATTAGCCTGAAGTTCAGTCTAATCCAACCTTATTACCATTGGATGATTTTCCTGCTGTGAGGGGATAGATAGTCTGGTAATTCCCTGAACAAAATTTCTATCACTATTTCTGCAACCGAGAATGATCTTCAATAGGTGTTTGCTCCGACCAAAGGGATTTGTCTCGTTATGTCTCATTGGTGACTCACCCTGCTGAATAATCAAAACCTGGAGCAGAATTACATCTCCAGAATTACCCTTTACTGTCCAACAGAAATGCTCCGTAGACCAGTCTTCAGTCAGAGTGCATGTTGGGCACAGTGAGGCTTGTGATGCAACATTGAAAGAGTGATTGATACATGCATATGACTTTGAGTGAGGTAGCCAGCAAGTAACTAATAGAGACTTTGCGGTGAGCCACCGGTAGCCACCCGGGGGCTCACGAGGCATGCAGTACCGAGTGGCTCCACCAGCGTTACGCAGGGGCAACATCATCTGATGGCTGACCCAATCTTGTCCGGTGGCAGCTGGTGGCTCATTCACACTGATGACTGCCAAGTTTCTGCGCGCCGGAGGTGCTATGCAAAATTTGAAGTATTGGGCTAAATTTCAGTCCGACTGAAAGAGAAGCTGAGTCGATTGGTTTCAGCCCCACAATCAGCTTTTATTTCGGCCCTGACTGAGATGCATTCCGATACTTTAAGTTTCAGATAGCACCTCCGATGCACTGAAAGATGGCAAGCGTGACCATGTGTGCCTCTCCCTTGTTCTCATTTTGTCCATTCGTTGTCCCAGCACATATGGGTACCTTTGCCAAATTTCGGCACACTCGATGTGTGAGTTGAAACTCCAAATATCATGTCGCATATATGTTGAGCTCAAATCAGAGCACATTCCATTAGTTTCGGTGCAGCAATGAACTTCAATTTCAGCTCATCCAAATTGAAGTCTGATATTCTACATTTTGAATAGCACCTTGAGGGAACCGAAACTTGGTAATCCCCGATGTGATTTTGAGTCATTTACGGCGCCACCAGAACCACATGCCTCGGGAGCCACCGGGTGGCTACCGGTGACTCGCCGCAAAGTCTCTCCTCGATCCCCAAGGACATCGCTTCGATCTGCTGCCACGTCAATGACAGTCACATTCCATCGCGGTCCATCTGAAGCAAGCCGTAGGCTCAAAAAGTGCTGTGAATATTGCAAAAAAAAAAAAGGTTCAGGTATCTACGATAACGTGTAAATACAGTGCGGAAGTTAGCATAATTAAGATCTCCTATGAATTTATTTCAGTGAACTCACACGTTGTTCCAAATGGGACAGACAAGTGGCGATCAGCCCAAAGTGATTGGTCTCGAGTACAGAGAGGCTCATAGAGCTTGAAACTTTATCATATTTTGCACTGGTGTATATAAATTGAATAAAGGGAGCTCATATAGTTTTTGGCCCGGCACAAATTGTTTCTAGCTCCGCTGTGATGTGATCATGTCAAATGCCAAAGTTGCCGGTGTACAATTAGAAAGAGCCAAGTCCAACTGAGCCTAAGGGTTCAGCACCTGCCTCGAAGAGGCCTAATCCCACGTCATAACAATGTTGTCATTCCTCGGAAAAGTTGGCTTACTTTCGCGCGTCTCAGGCCGCCGCTGGGCCTCACAATAACAAAATCCACAATGATATATTGCCAAGTATCTTTAAATTTCCGTCACATTCCCAACTCATCGTCCAGCCGCCTCAGAAAGCCATCGTGGGATTCAAAGTCGTCATCGAAACGTAGTATGTTCCCTTTGTTGTATCAATAATATTTCCGCCTGCAGCGAGCACGAAATACGGCTCGGGGATGTGCGGGACGAAGGCGATCGGAGCCATCCCTGGGGCGATGCCGAACTCTCGCAAGAAGCTGGGCACGTCGCGCTGGTCGTCCCAATATCGTCAGTCGCATGGCCATGGCTTGGGTAGGACGAGCACGTGGCGCCAACACCGCGACGATCATTCGTGCACTGCAGCAGCACCACAAAGGCTACGCCTACACTATCGCCCGCCGCTCGAAAAAACCGAGCTAAGCAAAAAAAGGGGCACATTGCACAGGGCACAAAACCAAGCCAAGAAGAGAAGAAGAAGCGAGCGAGGGGGATGGAAGAAAAGAAAGCGGTAATCGAATAGCTTTCTGCAACGAATCATCCCGACTTGCGAGACACGCTAGCCAGCCAGCGATCATGGCAGTTGGGTAATGCACCAAAGCACCCGACGTATCATAGCGACGGCGAGAGCACACTCGGCGGCCGGTACTGCTCCCCACCAATTTTACGCGCTCCTCCCAAAGATAAAACACCCAAAAATCCACAAGGAATGGGAAAACACAGAAGTGAACGGGAGAAATCGAACACGACGTACTTGAATGCGTTCGCCGCTGCCTGCCACTCCCTGCCCAACTCGAGGCGGATCTTGACGCTCTTGTAGATGTCCTCTGCGCCGCCTTGCTGTGTGTGCGAAATATTAGCATGAGATATAATAACAAAAAACAGCGAGCGCACCTCTCCGTATTCGCAGGACTCAACCGTACATGGTTCAAAAACGTCCCACTACTGCTCTTCGTGTCGCGTATATAAAACTTTGGGGCCATCCCATCGGCCTCGATCCAAACCTCCGCATGCGCCCGACTAACGACCTTGCTCTTGAACGCAATCTTGTTCGTGCTGAGTGCGTTGACGGCTGCGAGGCCCAAGCCACTGCGGTCTGTGAAGCGGCCGATGCGCAGGGCGGGCTCGCCGGCGCGGAGGTCGCGGGCGATGGGGTCGAAGCGCAGGGACCTGCGCGATTCGAGGTGCGGGACGAGTCGGATGCGATGCGAGGGGCCGCCGCCGCCGGCTCCACCCGTATTGGCGCTGGCATTGGGAGCAGGAAGAGCAGGTAGCACAGACGCGCGGACACTCGGCGTAGGCAGCACCGGCCCGACCGCCGCCGTCGGCGTGCTCGCCACATTCCCCGCGCTCCTCCTCCGCCTCAGCATATGGCTGAGATTTAGCCCCGCAGGCGACGTCGACGGCGCACCGGCCACTGGTGGGCCCGCACGTCTCCCCGCTCTCGAGTTGCCGGTGTTGGGCATGGGGAGGATGTTCGGTGCTGCGAATGGGTTGGGCGAAGGTGGCTGGTGGCCACCGGGCGGCGAAGGGCTGAGCTCGCGCTGGGCAGCGGCGACGTCGATGTGGGACTGGGACGAGTTGCGGGGGCGGCCGCGGCCGAGGAAGTTGCCGAGGATGGTGTTGCGCAGAGGGGGCGAGTCGGTCCCCGCAGACTCCATCAACAGCGAAGAAGAGAAGAGGAAGAGGGCGCTGGGCAGGTCACGTCACAGTCACACGTCGGTAGTAGACGATCAGTATCACCCATCCGTGGCTTGGTGGGGCATCAGTGCACTATGGCATTGCGGCTAGGCATCTCTTCAGCTCTCATCCTGCGCTTCTACGATTCAATTCGCTTACAGCGGATCTGTTCGGCGTTCGGTCACAATCCTGAACCGATCCTGGCGCCGTTCCTTGGACCTTCCGTCTGTCTATCACTGATATCGATATCGATCCAGCTTTCACGGAAGTCGAGTCATTTTTCTTTTGTTCTGGAAGTGGCCGGCCTCAAGCACACATTTAACTCTCGCGTTAGGGTATGTGGTGTTTTGTTTTCAAAAAAAAAAAAACGTCCGGCCATGCGGGTGCCGGGACTCGAACCCGGTTCTGCTGCTGAGAACTCTGGGAGTAGCAAACATAGGCTTTACAGCTGTGCACCGTACACCACACTCGCTTTTTCTGTCCCTCTGCAAAGTTGGTGAAACCACTGATTTCAGTGCCGTATCTAGGGCTCGCAATCAGTTTTTGTTTTCAATCACTGAAATTGACACTGAGACACTGAATAGTTCATCGAAGGATCGAAAATTGAATGCGTACGATAAAAAGGGAAAAGAAGAAAGAAAGAAAAAAAGAAAAAGATTACAGGGAACAAAGCCATGTGGGTGCCGGGACTCGAACCCGGTTCTGCCTGCTGAGTATTGCGGATGCCGATGACACTTCACAGGTGTGTACCCTACACCACACCCACTGCTCCTGTGCTTCTCAGTGCTCAATTAACCCACTGATTTCAGAGCAACTCAGACCTCAGTATTTGTGCATTCTTTTACAATCGACACTCCCACTCAGTCTGTGGCATGTTTTTTTTCCTCTAGTCATGGGACTCACAAACAATATATATCCAATGTCTGCAACGAAAATAACCAAGGGGGAAAAAAAACCACACAGAGGAAGGGCTAACATCCGGGTGCCAGGAGTCGAACCCGGTTCGGCTGCTGACAATCGGGAAGACAGGCCACACTTCACAGCTGTGTACCATACACCACACCCGCTTTCTCTGCCCCTCTACAAGGTTGGCTATGGTTAAACCACTGATTTCAGTGCCCTACCGATGACTCGTTGTCAGTTTTTGTTTATGTCAGTCACTAAGATTGATACGCACACCCTGAATGATTCATCTTTTTCTCTAGACATCTCTCACACATACGAGAGGTCGAAAATTGAATGTCTACGATAAATAAATAAGAAAACGGGGAAGGGTGGGAAACCAGAACGGCAAAAAAGTTGTGACTGGAAATGGAAATGTAGGTGCCGGGAATAGAACCCAGTTCTGCTGCTCAAAAGACTAAAGTTTGAAGGGTGGCAGCTGTGTACCATACACCACACTCACTTTTCTTATCCTTCTTTTGCCTTGATTAACCACGCAATTCCGGAGCAATGCTCCATACCCAGTAAGTATTTGTGCAGTGTTTTACAATCACCAACCCACTCGGTCTGTAGCATTGAGTTTTCCACTGGTTATTGGCCTCACAGACAGATCATATCCAATAGCGGCGGTCAGAGTAGACGCTTCTGGGCGATTCTGACGGCGATTATGGAAACGATTCTGAGATGATTCTCAGAATTGTTTTTTGGCAGAATCGTGGGACAATTGTCCCAACTTTGACCACACCAATTCCTATTTCGATTCCCGAAGCGATTCTGAGGCGATTCTGGGCGTAATAATCAAAACCTCTCAAATTGAAGGCCATAAAAAATTGTCTTGGGTTACCTGGGCAGCTCATGATGTTTTCCGTAGGGTTGCGGAAATTATCATTCAGAAAATCATAACAGTTTAACGGCAACAGGGGAGAATCACACCTGAAAACAGAAGAAATGTTACAAAGTCAATAGTGGCGGTCAGAGTAGACGATTCTGGGCGATTCTCGCCGCGATTCTGACCCCGATTCTGATGACGATTCTGAAATTCTTTTTCATCAGATTTGGGTGAGAATCGCTCAGAATCGTCTTTAAATTAAATTAGAGTCAGAATCGCGTTCGAGAATCGTTGTAGAATCTCCTCCAGAGGAGCTTCTACAACGATTCTCGAGGCGATTCTGGATTATGACGATTTTCCCACATTAAAGAAATTCCAGAATCGTTTGCAGAATCGCCCTCAGAATCGCCCAATTAAAAGTTACTCTGACCGCCACTAATAATTTTGTGATGAAATGGACAGTTTGTGATGAACGAGAATCGCAATCGTAATCGCAATCAGAATCGTTGTAGAAGCACCCCCAGAGGAGCTTCTACATCGAGAATCGCCTGAAAAGCGATTCTGGGTTTTCGAAGATTCTCCCACGCTTAATAATTTGAGAATCACATCCATAATCGCCGTCAGAATTGCCCAGTTAAAATCTACTCTGATCGCCCCTAATGTCTGCCTGCAATGTCTGCAATCAATAAAGTAAAATAAAAGAAGGGAGGAAATGATACAAGAAATATGTGGGTGCCAGGAGTCAAACCTGGTTCTGCAGTTTAAACTTAGAACATGTCCTTCACTTCTAACGATGACAGCCATGTACCATACACCACGCACACTTTTCCTCCCTATCCTGGAGCTCACTTAACCCACCAATTTCAGAGCAACTCAGATCTTCAGCATTTGTGCACTGTTTCACCAACACCAATATTGACACTCGACTCCAGTGACACAGTCCGTCTGTTCCTCGGCCTCATGCTCAGTTCCTGTCCATGTCTGCAATGAAAATGAAGGAGGAACACCAAAAATACACCAACTGAGGGAAGACAAGATGGGCCGGGAATCGAGCCCGGTTCTGCTGTGAGCGTTGATGGGACCAAAACATCACATCTACACTTTGCGGCCGTGTACCTTACACCACACCCACTTTTCATCCCTGTCTTTGACCTCACTTAAGCCACCAATTTCAGAGCAACTCAGACCTCAGTACTTAGTGTTTATGGGCACTTCACAATCAACACTCCAACTTGGTCTGTGGCATTCTGTTTTCCTCTAGTCATGGGACTCACATACAATAGATGTTCAATGTCCACAACGAAAGCTACCACGAGTTATATGTTGGATTTAGAGCTAGGGATGAAGCGAAGCTCAGTGACCCTCTGCAAACACGCAGAGGTCTCGATTCAAAGGCTACGGTAATTATACAAAAAAGGGCTGTAAAACTGCTGTAAAGAACTTTGGAAAGGATACCAAACTAGTGAGCTGTGAAGGCTGCTGTTTAATAGAGCTGTAGAAATGGGCAGGTTGGAAGTTCAACAGCCTGTCAAAGAGGCAGTTTGACGGTGCTTCGATTGTCCTTCCAACATTATACACGCAGTAGCTGCTGCAGAGAAAAAGAAGAAGTGTTGTCTTTGTTTGGCGGGAGCATTAATGCATCGGGTGTTCCTGGCTAACATGACCACATATGCTGTCCTTCTTCCTTCACGCGGATGTCGCCCATACCTCCGTCAAGCACTGACGACGATACTTCCAGCGACGTTCGGCGGCATTACCGCCCATCTTCAGCATATTACAGCGAGTCCACTGGCATGGTGTTTCTGCAAGAAGGCGAAGAAAGGGCAGGACCGTCCGACTCCTCAGCCAGCTCTGGGAGCCCATTGTCGGAGCCGGAGAGGACCGCGCGAAACGGAAGCCGAAGCCTGCCGATACCATATGGTGCGTTGGATACAACATTTTTATTACAATACGGCACTTCACAGGATCGACAGGTGTTCAGCGACCACCTCATTCCCCGATCATTGAGGAGGACAAGGAGGAGGTTGTGTCTCCCGGAGAGATTCAGACACTGTCCATGACAGAGAAAAAAGGGGAAAGTCCATCTCCTGGCCATAATCAGCTCTTTTACTCAAACAAGAGACTCCAGCGCCCTTACCATTCAGATTATTCCGAGGACCGCTCCCTAAAACTCATGGGCGGTACTTTTACAAACATCACCACTGGCAGTATTGTAGATTCAACAGGTGAGCTGATTCAGCACCCCTGATCTGGATTATATATCAAGCTTATGCCCAAGGTCTGACCACATTACATCAAGCATCCGCTCACGACGCTTTCCACGACTCCGCAGAGAGATCCCCCCGCCAGAATGCGATCTCGAGACACAGATGGAGATTCTTGATGACCTCTGCAGTTGGTCATCCGAGGACGATCCTGGCAGCAGGGTGCTTTGGCTTTATGGACGAGCTGGTGCACGCAAATCAGCGATTGCCCAGGCTTTGTGCCATAAGCTAGAAGTCGATGGTCACCTCGGTGGGAGCTTCTTCTTCAAACGAGGACATCCATCTCGCGGAAAAGGCAGCAAACTATTCGCAACAATTGCCTATCAGCTTTCTCTGCTGGCAAATTTCCCTGATTTGAAGCAGTCCATTAGTCAGACAGTGGCACAAAACCCCTCTCTCCTGCACAGATCCCTTTCCGCTCAACTGCAGAGACTGATCATTGAACCTTGCCTTCAAAATGTCTCTGGACACACTCTGGTCGTTGTAATTGATGGATTAGATGAATGCGAAGACGAAAATATTCAGCTGGAAATATTGCGTTCAATTGCGAATGTAACGATCCACGGACACGAACTTGCGCTTCGCTTCCTCATTTCTAGCAGACCAGAGCCTCATACTGGCGACTCTTTTCGTCAACCGGGCTTGGATGGTTTCCATCGTTCTTTCAGTATTCACAATGATAATCTGATAAGAATAACCACTCAATCCGTTGATCTGCCTTGTCATCCATTTGATGATACTCATAAAGAAATCTGTCTCAAGCTGATCAGCCTTCTCAGCGACTCAGCAACCTACAAGCAGTTTTTATCCTGCCGTAATGCTGCTGCTCAGAATCTCCTGGACCTCTTACAGGATGTGAGTGAGCTCAGTTGCCCCAGTAAGACTTGCTAACATACTGATCATTAGCTCTTGGATTGTAACACTTCTGCAGCATCAGCCAGACCCTTCCTTCTCCGGGCATTGTTGAGGCTTTCTCGAGTCTCTGGACAACACCCTCGATGCTTTGCTCTTCCAGATCTGCGGAAAGTAGGGGAACAAGTAGCCGCAGGAAACTTCAGCGATCTTTGGAAAGGGACCGTGTCTGGCAGAGATGTCTCGGTCAAAGTTATGCGGCTATTCCAAACATCAGACATTGAGGCTTTGCTGAAAGTGCGTACTTGATTGTAATGCCACACAGTTTCTCCTTATCTTGTGCAGGAATTTAGTCGGGAGGCACTTATTTGGCGCCAGCTTTGTCACCCAAACCTGCTGCCCTTTTGTGGTCTATATTATTTGGACCGGAGGCTCTGTTTGGTCTCGCCGTGGATGGAAAATGGAAATATCTTGAATTATCTAAGAAATAAACCGGCTAGCATCAGTCGTCTTTCACTTGTAAGTCCACATTGAGGGGAAAGAATTTGATTATTTTGACGGTAGTCCTTAGATGTTGGACGTAGCATTGGGCCTTGAATAATTGCACAAGAACGATGTGGTACACGGCGATTTAAAGGCAGTAAGTCTTTGACATAGTCCGAATTCAAATTCTGGCCTACTCAATCGCAGATCAACATTCTTGTGAGCCCTTCAGGTAGAGCCTGTATTGCGGATTTTGGCCTCTCCTCAATTACCAATCCGATGACCTTCCGATTTACCCACTCGACTATGGAGCGTGGCCGAGGTGGTACGCCCCGCTACCAAGCACCCGAGTTGTTCAGAGATGACACCCAGAACCATTTTGGTTCTGACGTTTAT